TACAGTAGTGGTCTCATACAATATTTGTCCTTTTGTGCTTGACTTATTTCACTCAGCATAATGCCCTTCAGATTCATCCATGTTATGAGATGCTTCGCAGATTCATCATTGTTCTTTATCATTGCATAGTACTCCATTGTGTGTACGTACCATAGTTTGTTTATCCATTCATCTGTTGATGGGTATCTAGGTTGTTTCCATCTTTTTGCTATTGTGAACAATGCTGCCATGAACATGGGTATGCATATGTCTAGTCACGTGATGGCTCTTATTTCTCTAGGATATATTCCTAGGAGTGAGATTGCTGGATCGTATGGTATTTCTATTTCTACTTTCTAAGGAAGCGCCATATTGTTTTCCAAAATGGTTGTATCATTTTGCATTCCCACCAGCAGTGCGTAAGAGTTCTGATCTCCCCACAGCCTCTCCAACATTTATTATTTCCAGTTTTTTTAATTCGTTCCAGTAATGCTGTGGTGAGATGCTATCTCATTGTGGTTTTGATTTGCATTTCTCTAATGGCTAGTGATCTTGAGCATTTCCTCATGTCTCTGTTAGCCACTTGACTGTCTTCTTTGGTGAAGTATCTGTTCATTTCCTTTGCCAATTTTTTAATTGGATTATTTGTCTTGTTGTAGAGGTATTGGATTTTCGAGGTTAGACCTTTGTCTGATTTGTAATGTCCAAAAATTTTTTCTCAGTCTGCAGGTTCTCTTTTTACTCTTTTGGTGAAGTCTTTTGATGAGCATAGGTGTTTAATTTTTAGAAGATCCCAGTTATCTATCTTATCTTCTGGAGTTTGTGTGTTATTGGTTATGGTTTGTATCCTGTTAATGCCATGTATTAGGGTCTCTAGTGTTGATCCTGAAATAGTATTTTTATGATGGCCACTTTACAGATGATGCAATTGAGATTCAGAAAGTTTAGGTGACTCATTCAAGATCATACCTCTACCCTGAAACTGTTGCCCTGGAGATAATCTTTAAACCTTAAACCAAAAATATCCCCTGAAGTCTTCATAAAACCAAACAACAGTTTAGGGTAACTAGTAAAAAATGTCTGCCTTGAGCATTATGCTTTTTTAAGAACTATCTATATGGGATCAAAATGACAATAGCAACTCAGAAGATTAGATAGGAACCTTAGGGGGCAGTGAGTTTATATCAATGGGGGAGGAACAACTCAGAAAAGGAGGGTTAGAATGGTTGCGTGACTAGAAGAATGTAATCAATGTCACTGAATTGCACATGTAGAAAGGGCTGAATTGGTGTATGCTTTGCTGTGTATAGTCTCAACAACAACAAAATAAAAAATTACACTTCTAGCGAGCCCCTTCATGTGATTTTCAAAATCTCTGAGGGGGGAAAGAATCTCTAAGCAACTCTGTCATTCTAATTAAACTCCATCTCTTTCCTTGTTCCTTTACTAGACAGTGAGTTTCTCAAGGGCAGGAACTCAAGGGCAGGGTCGTATTCCTCTTTGTGCCCCCAGAGCCTGACATAGAGACTGATAAACAAGAATTGCTGCTGGTATTTATTGATTGAACGGTTGAAGAAATGAATGACCTGATTCCCAAGTCAAAGAGCAGGAGATAAATCTGTGGGACTAGGGGAAGAAAAAGATACGGTACTAATTAGGGGTCTTTCAGGAATCTGGGACAGAAAGCTTATTCAAACCATTGTAAGCAAAAAAGAGTTTTAAGCAAACCATGGTCACCTCGGAATCCACTAAACAGCAATAGTTTTTTTTTTAAATTTTTTATGGTCGCCTAACTTTAATAAAGCATGACTCACACCCTAACAGAAAGCTGGGCACGTCCTCCTTGTGTAAGAGGAAGTGACTCTCAGGGTTAAAATGTCTCCTCCCTCACTCCCCCGCCCCCATAAGCTGCAGCACTGAGAAGCACCATCTCTCCTGCTCCCATAGGTTTTTGCTGGAGGTTCATTCCGTCCCATACTGTGTCCTGTTCTGTGTTACTCTGTTAGGATCGTCCCAGAGAGCAAGGAGACCTTTTTCTTTTCTGCACCCCCCAGCTGCAAGCAGAGGACCTGGCCCAGTTGAGTGCTCCGTTGAGTGCGTTTGGGGAAGGTGGAAGAGGGTGTGGGAAGCGGGAGGCAGGGACGGATTACCCAATAAACAAGGTACACACGGATTTCACCTGTTTTTTACAACATCTCAGAGGTGGTGAAACCTATGTGAAATTGTTCACTACAGGTTAGTAAGCAAACACAAACCTGTGAAGACCTTGCTTGGAGCCATGTTGGCACAGTGGTTAATAACTCGGCTGCTAACCAAAAGGCTGGCAGTTGGAATCCACCAGCTGCTCATTGGAAACCCTATGGGGCAGTTCTACTTTGTCCTATAGGGTAGCTATGAGTTGGAATCCACTAAACGATAACGGGTTTGGTTTGGTATACCTTGCTTAATGTAAACCCTTGCGTATTGTGCTTAGTGGTTAATCAGCCCCTTCTCCGGGAGGAGAATGCCAGGAGGAAAGAAGGGGCCTTGGCCTAGGGCTGCCTAAAAGGGCCTCTGGGACAGGGTGTCGGAGCCTGGCGGTGGTCGCCGGTACGAGATCTGGAGCCAGAAGGAGGCGTGTCACAGTAGTCGGTGCAGGCCTCCCAGTCCCATGGGGCTGTGGCCTCCGCAGGGCGCGCGGGACAGAAACAGCCATCCAGCAGGCTGCCTGGGGCGACTCGTGCAGGGACCCGACTCAGGGCAGCTGTGAAGCCGAAGGTTCCACTTCGGGAGGAAACTGAACAGCAGTATTGCATTCGGCCACATGTCGAGCCCGGACGGCCAACAGGAGGACGGGGCCCCGAGGGAAGATGGCGCGGAGGACCAGGGACCTCCCCGGGGAATTCGCGTTCAGAGACTCGCCACCCAGCAGACGCAGTGGTCGGAGGGCGGCGGGAGGAGAAGTCTTCCTGAAACTGGGCGCGGGACAGATCTGATGCCCTAGCGCGGCGCACATAGATTCCTGCACCGGTATGAAGACCCGGGTGGGAGGTCATCCACAGCGGATTTCCTGGAAGTCAGGACCAAGTTGGTTTAACTTCCTCCTCCCGGGTGGTGGAGCGAGCTGCTCGGGAGGGTTCTAGCTTCTGCCAAAGCAAGACGCGGAGTGGGGGCGAGGGTCCCGGAGGGGCAGTGGCCTCAGGAACGGGCTCAGAGGAATGGTCCCGCAGCCCTAGACAGAGCTCCAGGTGTTGTGGGGAAATTCCCAAGACAGGTGATTGCAGTTCTTAAAAGGGCTTATGCCCGCCTCCTTTTCTGGGGGCCACTTCAGGCACAAGGAGAGTAACCTGATGTAAGTATCTCATCAGGAAAGGGATATCTGAGAGATATATATATCTATATAGTGTGTGTGTGTAGGAAGTCACATTACAGTTATTTATGGATTTATACTGTTACTACCATTTTAAGATTTTTTTGCTTTTAAAACTAGTTAACTTCCCCCTCATTGTACTACAAGTATCACATGAACATATTCTTAAAAGGTTATTAGCAGTTTTACACTATTATAAATAGCACTGCAATGACTGTCTTGGTATACGTCTACATGCACAGATATGTTTCTATATCATAAGTTCCTAAAAGTTCAAATTGCTGAGTCAAAGTGTGTATGTGTTTATATTCCTCTCCATCCCTTCGATATCATTATTATATACTTAATTATCTCATGTGCTTTGACTTGCCTATTCAGACACCAAACCCAAAACAATTTTAGTTATTGCAGTTTTTAATACATTTTAATACCTTACGGGGTACATCCCCTTATTTTTATTTTTTAAAAAGTCCTGGTTATCCTTGCTAGTAATTTTCTCTTTGAAATGAGCCTTAGGATCATTTGGTTTCAATCCCAGATATATGCCACTGGGAGTTTTACTGGAACTGCGTTAAATCGGGTTTACACTTGGAAAGAATTGCCAGGTTAATAATTTTTAATATTTCCAGTCAGAAATATGACATTTCTTTAAGCTCTCTTTTGTGTAGTTTGCTTCATGTCACTCCAGCACTTTTTCTGTAAAATTTACTCCTACGTATTAAACATTTTTTTCTTGTTTATATGAGTGGGACCTTTTTCTCATTATGTTTTTCTGACTAGTTATTGCTGAGATGGAAACCCTGATGGCATAGTGGTTAAGAGATACAGCTGCTAACCAAAAGGCTGGCAGTTCGAGTCCACCAGGTGTGCCTTGGAAACCCTATGGGACAGTTCTACTCTGTCCTACAGGGTTGCTATGAGTCAGAATCGCCTTGATGCCAATGGGTTTGGGTTTTTTTTTTTTTTGTATTGCTGAGATATAACTTTTTGATGAGGCTGGTAATAAAATCTAGATTATGTCTTGGAGCTAGGAAGCTGAAATCTGCAAGGTTTCTTGAACAAAACTTCCACATCTGCTTCTGCCTAAGGTGAACTAGAGAAGGTGGAAAGCTCTTTACTCTCAGGAGTCCCAAGAGATGTCCCTGAAGGCATCTGCTCTTTAGCTGGGAATAGCTAAGCTCCACTGAGTATTTCTGTTATTGTTGTTAGGTGCCGTCAAGTCGGTTCCAACTCATAGCGACCCGATGTACAACAGAACGAAACACTACCCGGTCCTGTGCCACACTCCACAATCATTGTTATGCTTGAGTATTTCTAGGAGTGCCTTCATGCCTGTTATCTAACAGGTATAATTATCTGTTATATAATTAGGATAACTCTAAAGGCAACCAAAACAAAGGTGTATCAGTTGAGGACTAGGGAAGGAAGGATGCCAGGGCCTTGGGGAGAGAGAAGAAAATGTGAGATTGACAGATGCCAACTTCTCTGCAGTCCTGAATATCATTGGCCAATGTTGCAAACTAGGTGTTCATGGGCAATATTCATTTGGCAGACATGTTTCATTTGGCTCACACGGTGTTGGACTGCACAGTTTTTAAAATACTTTTTGACTTGGTTGCAATATTTAAAAGAGTGATTTAGAAATTTAACATAAAAATCCAGATTTCTGGCTGCTCTTGAACAACTGGAAGATCTTTCATCACTGGGCCCTTTATGCTTGAAGAGCAACAGTTGATGACTTAATAGGTAGCCCCTGCCTTCTTTAGACAGGGCGTGAGCTTTCCAGTCCTCCCTCTGGTCACCCTGACGATGAGACCATGGGTCAGTTGTCTTTATCATTGCACATATGCTGCTTTTTTCTTACAGGACTGTAGTGAACTGTTTTTTGTACTGTTGCCTCTATCAAAAATGGAGAAATGAAAGACTAGGTGGTCCACATGTCTCAAGGAAAATGGGAGGAAACATATTTCTTTGTGGCTTTAAAGACTGTTCCTAGGCCAGCTCATTTCACTTATTTAAGTTACCTGCCTGGCCTCTGAAGTTAACCCCCGCACTTTGGCAGGATGTATTTGTTAGCATATGTAGGCTAAACTGATGTAACAGATAGACCCCAAAATGTAATGGCTCTAACACCGTAGAAGTTTATTACTCACTCACTTAACAGTCCATGGCAGATATTTCAGATATGGGTGGCTCTCCTCCAAGCAATAATTCGAGGACCCAGGATCCTTCTATTTTGGGGTTCTGGCATCCCTACAGCCACATCATCCTGTGCATCCAGGTGGCAGAGGGGATAAGAGTATAGAGGAAACAAACCTGCCTGACTCCAAAGCAGCATGTATCACTTCCACTCACATCCCATTGGTAAGAACTAGTTACATGGCCACATCAAGCTGCAAGGGGGGCTGGGAGATATAGTCTTAGCAGGGCCAACACTTTCAGCAACAACTCTGTTATTATGGACAGATTTTGGAATGGCGGGGGCACCTCTTCAGGTGTTCAAATTACAGACACCCTTGATTCTCCCTTAGCTAAGTGTTAAACATGCAGGGGATTCTGGGACTTAAACGAATTCCATCAGTTTCTTCCAGGTATGGATGAATTGAAGCAGATCATCTCCTTAGGCCAGCTTGTCTACCAACAGTGTGAAGAGATGAAATACTGCTGGAACCAGTGCCAGCGCTTGGGGAAACACATCCATGGCCTGCTGCAGCCTCTGGAGATGCTCCAGGACCAAGGACAGAAGAACCTGTCCACGCAGCTAACTGCTGCCCTGCTCAGTTTCCAGACTGTCCTGGAGGAAGCTAAGGATGCAGATAAAAAAGTTCAACAATAAATCCAATGTCCAAAAGTTTCTTACAGCAGGGACTGACAAAATACTCTTTAGTGCAGTGAACAAGAGGCTGAGAGACGTCTCGGAGGAGCTCTCGCTGGTGCTTCAGGTTGATCAACGGACCTTCCATCAGCCCTGGCAAAAGGAGGATCAGCGAGATGCAGAGGAAGACATGAGTATGTTTTGGGGGGAGGAAGGGTGACCAAATGGTTTGCACTCAACTGTTGTTGGGTGCTGTGGTGTCAATTTTCGACTAATAGTGACCCCATGTGACAGAGTAGAACTGCCCCACAGGGTTTTCTAGACTGTAATCTTTATGGTAGCAGACTGTGAGTCACTTAGTGTGTTCCAACTGCAAACCTTTCGGTTAGCAGCTGAACATTTAACTGTTGTGCTACCAGGGCTCTCGTCCACTAACCTAAAAAAAAGGTTGGCGGTTTGAAACTACCCAGCAGTGCCTCAGAGAAAGGCCTGGTGATCTGCTTCTGTAAAGATTACAGCCAAGAAGACCCCATGGAGCAGTTCTAATCTATAACACATGGGGTCGCCAAGAGTTAAAATCGACTCAGCAGCAACGGGGTTATACATGTGGCCAAGAACTCCTAAAATCCATGGCCCAGATATGGTGGGGGCTGCTGAAATTTGGGCAAACCAGGGAAGAAAGAGGGTACTGATGAGTTTCCTTTGCCTCTGCATTCTCTCTTTGACACAATACCTGGAATTCTAGAAGCTGATTCCTTCAAGCTGAAGGGCAGGATTGGCTCCCAGCCTCGTAATTGTCAGTGCTCATCGGTCCACTTCCTGATGGGGGTGGGAGGCACATTCATGTCATCAGCCTGGGACACAGGGTTAACTTCCTGTTCTTGCTTTTAAAAATTTTTAAACATTTTTTATTAGGTAACAAAATCACATAGTACAATATTCAAAAGTTACAAAAAGGGCACAGAGTGAGAAGTAAATCTCCCTCTTGACCTTGACCTCAAGGGCCCCGTTCCCCTCTCCAAACACAATCTGTCCTACCAGCTTCTTGTATAGCCTTCCAGAGATTTAAGTATATGTATTTTGTTGCTGCTGGTTACACAATCAGAAGTGTGCTGACTACAGTGTTTTGCTTCTTGCTTTTCTCATGAAGTCATCTTGAATATTGTTCTGTACGAATATTCACAGAGTTGTCTAGTACAGTTCAAGAGTATACATGAACTAGATTTAAGCAACTCCCTATCAGTGGACATTTAAGTCATGTCCAATTTTTCACTATTGTAAATAGTGCTGCATTGAGCCTATTTGTATCTGTTTCAGGATATTTTCAGGAAAATTCCTTTTATCCCTAGCCGCTCTTAAAATTCTCTCTTTATTTTTGGTTTTGGTAAGTTTGATTATAATATGTCTTGGTGACTTCCTTTTGGGACCTCGCTTATGTGGGGTTCGATGAGCATCGTGGATAGTTATCGTCTCATCTTTCATGATATCAGAGAAGTTTTCTGTCAACAAATCTTCAACAATTTTCTCTGTATTTTCTGTTATCCCCTCCGTTCTGGTACTCCAGTCACTCGTAGGTTATTTCTCTTGATAAAGTCCCACGTAACTCTTAGAGTTTCTTCATTCTTTTTAATTCTTTTATCTGATTTTTCCTCAGATAAGTTGGTGTCAAGTGCTTTATCTTCAGTGTCACTAATTCTAACTTCTACTGCCTCAGTTCTGCTCCTATGACTTTCTATTGAGTTGTCTAATTCTGAAATTTTATTGTTAATCTTCCAGATTTCTGACTGCTGTCTCTCTATGGATTCTTGCAGCCTATTAAATTTGTCATTATGTTCTTGAATAACTTTTTTAAGTTCCGCTACTACTTTGTCTGTGTGTTCTTTGGCTGTTTCTGCATTTTATAGAATTTCCCTTCTAATTTCTAGAAGAGTTCTGTATATTAATCTTTTGTATTCTGCCTCTGGTAATTCCAAGAAATTCTCTTCCTCCAGAGAATTTATTGATTCTTTATTTTGGGAGCTTGCTGAAGCCATCATGGACTGCCTGTTTATGTGATTTGATATTGACCGTTGTCTCCAAGCCATCAATAAGTTATTATAATTTTATTTTATATTTGTTTAGTGAGTCCTAGCTTCTTGTTTTGTTTTGTTTTGATATGCCCCAATAGGCTGCTTTTGTGCACTAGTTTGATTATTGGCGCCTTTGAAGCTCTAATGTCCTGTCACCAGGTAGTTAGTTCTGTAACTATGTATGTGCACACAGGAGTCTGTTAAATTTTCCTATATGGGTTCAGCTCAGGTGTCCAGGCAGTCGGTCACCAAGTGTGTGGTGCAGGCTCTCACCTACAGTCTTAGAGAGGCATGGGTGTAGACACAGGTATCTGGCTGCAATAGGCGGTCACATGCTGAGCCAGGCAGGGGACCGATGGCTGTCCCTGAGAGTCTGAAAGGAAAGTGTGTCCCTATTCCCTAGGGCGAGTAGGTAGGTGAGTTTTGCAGCCGGACTATGAGCACCCTACTCCATTGGCTGTAAAGACTCGAGGGCACCGCTTATTCTTGGATCCCTGTAACAGGTGACTAGGTGGCTTAGGTGGAGCCACCAGTCCTCAAGCGGATCGGTAAAGCTGCCTGCTCAAAGGGCAGGGCTGTGTCGAGGGTCACAAATCTGCCACTTCACAGCTGAAACAGTTGAAGTTAGACTTCAGATGTTTACACTGTTGTACTGTGGTAGTGAGGGCTAATGCTGTTGTGATGGGTCCCCACAAGTCTATACAAGAGTGTAAGGCACTCAGAGTCTACGGACCCCTTATGCCTGTGGCTAGCAAAGGAGCTGTGCCTACCCTGAGTTCCTGGCTTAGGGAAGCCAGTAGCTTATTTGTTCCTTCTCCAAGGCCAGGAGAATGGGTCAGGGCGCCTTTTGCCATCTACTTCCGGCCCAGGGGACTCACTTCAGAAGGCCGGACAGGTGCAGAGTGGGGAGGGAGGAGGTAAAAGAGAGAGGTTTTGCCCAAATGGGCTTTTTTTTCTTTAAATCCCCAAGAAAGGCCGCACGCACATACTTATCTTTAGCCACTTGGGAGCTGCTTTTCACTGGTTTGGAATGTCCACGCAGAATCTCTGCTGCTGGATCTCTCTCGATATGGCAACTGCCTCCTGATCGCATGTGCACAGCCGATTGCCTGCTTCACTGCATACCTTGGAGCCAGTCGGGGCTGAAGAGCTGGAGCCAAGTCTGGTCTGGCACTTCTCCTTTCTTCAGAACTGTCTCCCTCTCCCCCTGCCACTCAGTCCGATTCTTCAAGTTTGCCTTGTTCAGGGCTCCTAGATATTCACATACAATCAAATCACTTGTTTTTCCATGTCTTTGCTGTACGAGGGATATAGGAAGCCGTCTGACTATTCTGCCATCTTGGCCCCGCCTCTCCAGGAAAATTTCTAGAAGTGGAATTAGTGGATCTAAGTGTTGGGTCAAAGAATATGGACATTTTAAATTTTGATAGAGGTTGTCTGATTACCCTCCACAGAGGTTGTACAAATGTCACCCCTACCAGCAATGTATGAGATAGTTTGTTTCTCCAATACTTTTTTCCATTAGAGACTTTCCTGGTTTTAGAAATGAAGGTCCCACATCCCAGGAACCCCTCAGTCCTGGACAAACTGGGAAGGTTGGTTGTCCTAAGATAGAGTGTTATCAATTTTTAAAATATTTCTGAGCATATAAATCAGGATAGGTTAGATTATGCTATGGTTTAATTTTAAAAAAATAAAATAAAAAGCAAGGCATGTGGTCAAACGTTTCAAGGTATTTCCTGTATGCTTAGAAGTAGAGCGGTGGGTACTGGCAAGCAGTAGTAATTCCTGCCGCGATGGATACAATAGGTAAAAATGGTATCTCAGTGTGGTTTTAATTTGCATTTCTATTTTTGAGTATTCGCTGCTCTTTTTCCTGCAGAAAAGGAAAATATAGACCTTCTACTGAGGTAGTTGGAAAGCAACATGAAAATCATTGAAACCTTGAGGCAATGTAAGTTAATCATATGCACTGCTGCTTCTGACTATACCCAAACTAGAAGTCATCTGTTTACTAGAAACTCCAGTCTTCCCCAGCCCTCCTTTTGTCCATGTTCTGTGCTGGGTAGCTGAAAGGTTTTTGCATGTGTTTATTATGGCTAGCCAGGAGTAGGAGTAGGGAGAACTCCAAAATGAGAGATAGGTGGGGATGGAGGTTAAGGGTGGAGAGATAGGCAGGATTTGAAGAGGAGGGAAAGAAAAGTTCATAACACATTTTTGTTAACCCTGTAGCCGGTTACTCAAAGCCTCTGGAACCTCTCCCCCAGTCAGCTGGAGCCAGCTTTGAGTTGTGGTGTAGAATGCCCTGCTCACATGTCAATAAAGTGCCTCTTACCCCGTCTCATTGACCCTTTATTTCCTTCTCTCCTGGGGCTGAGGTTAGACTTGAAGAAACCCATAAATAAGCTCCCACAAGAGCAGATCAAAGAGATAGAGAAGGAGCAGATTTCAGGGTCCCCATGGATCCAGCTAAGGAAAAATGAAGACAGCACACTGTATAAAGGAGAATACCACAAATGTCCAGTGACCATAAAAGCGTTCAGCAATCCCCAGGCCACAAGTATTGGGTAAGTTGTTTTGGATAGTCCTCTCATATGCATCATTTCACTTGCTTCCTATAACCCCCCAAGAACAGAGGTGTCACTGTCTCCATTTTCAGATGGGGAACTCAGGCCCTGAAGGGTTAAATGGCTTGCCCTCTGCTAGTAAGGAAAAGAGTCCAGACTTAAATGTGTGTCTTCCAACCTCAGTTCCAGAGAGTTCTCTCTTTTATTCATGTATTTATGTATTTTTAAAATTTACTCCCTTTATGCCTGTTTTTTGATCCCTATCCCCTCCATAAACAATAATTCTAGTGTGTTTAATGGATCATTTTATTTGTATGTGTTCTTGCAAAATGCATGTTGTGTGTGCATACATTTTTAATTTTCATACATGGTACTGTGTTATATATCTGATGCCTATTTTTCATTTTTTCCCATTTTTAAAATTTTATTGTGGTGAAAATACATATAACAAAACCTACGCCATCTCAACAATTTCTACATGTACAATTCAGTGACATTGATTACATTCTTCAAGTTGTGCAACCATTCTCATCCTCCTTTTCCAAATTGTTACTTCCTCCTTAATAGAAACTCACTGCCACCTGATGCCTACTTACTTTTTTCCCTCAGCATCATGTTCCATGATGCTACTGTACATGTAATCATTTCTTTCTAACTGCTGTCCATGATGTAGATCCACATTTCACCTATTTTTCCGGTGATGCACCCAGTCTGCTTCCAATTTTCTGCCACCAAAAATGATGCCAGCATAAGTATTCCTTTACTAATCCATATGAGAATTTCTTTGGGCTATATCCCCAGTAGAGGAGTTGATGGGCCATACAGTCTGCATATATTAAATTTAACTGAGTACTGCCACATGACTCTTCAGAAGTACATTTACACTCCTACCTGCAATGCACGAGAGCTGCTATCTTCACACATCTCCACCAATCCTTGGTATTATCCAGCTTTCTAATTTGTTTCATACTTGTACTTATAAGGTGATATCTTATTGTTCTTTTAATTTGCATTTCTCTGTTTACTAATACGTTTAAGAATTTATTCATATGTTTGTTAGCTATTTGGATTTCCTCTTCTATAAATTGTTCATATCCTCTGCATTTTTTTCTGTCATGGATGCTGTTTTTGTCTTGTTGATTCGTAGAAGACTCTTGTTTATTGTGGAAATTAATCACTTGTCAGTTTTAAACATTGCAAAGGTCTTCTCTCATCATATTATGTATATTTTAACTTTGCCCATCACCGATCAGACATCATTAATTTTTATATAATTAAGTCCACCAAATTTTTGCCTTATTATTTGTGCTCTTCAGATTGTTTTAAAAGCCCTACTCTACCCCTAGATCTTGAAAGTATTCTATAATTTTTTCTATTAACTTTATCGTTTTATTTTTCATATTCAGGCTTTAGTCCACCTGGATTCCACCTTTATATGTGAGATTATGTAGAATCTAGTTGATGGAGAAGCTCAATATCATCAGTCAGAACAAGGCCAGGGGCTGATTGCAGACCAGACCATCAATTACTCGTATGCAAGTTCAAGTGGAAGTGGAAGAAAAGTAAAACACAACCATGAGAGCCAAAATACGACTGTGAGTATATCCCACCAGAATTTAGAGACCATCTCAAGAACAGATTTGATGCATTGAACACTACTGACAGAAGACCAGATGAACTGTGGAATAACATCAGGGACATCAAACATGAATAAAGCAAAAGGTCATTAAAAAGACAGGAAAGAAAGAAAAGACCAAAATAGATGTCAGAAGAGACTCTGAAACTTGTTCTTGAACACAGAGTAGCTAAAGCAAATGAAAGAAATGATGAAGTAAAAGAGCTGAACAGAAGATTTCAAAGGATGGCTTGAGAAGACAAAGTAAAGTATTATGATGAAATGTGCAAAGGCTTGGAGTTAGAAAACCAGAAGGGAAGAACATACTTGGCATTTCTCAAGCTAAAAGAACTGAAGAAAAAATTCAAGCCTCCAGTTGCGATATTGAAGGATTCTATGGGCAAAATACTGACCGATGAAGGAAGCATCAGAAAAAGATGGAAGAAATACACAGAGCCACCAAAAAGAACTGGTTGATGTTCAGCCATGTCAGGAGGAAGCATATGATCAAGAACCAATGGTACTGAAGAAGTCCAAGCTGCACTGCAGACACTGGTGAAAAACAAGGCTTCGGGAATTGATGAAGTATCAATTGAGATGTTTCAACAAACGGATGTGACGATGGAAGTGCTCACTCGTCTACGCCAAGAAATTTGGAAGACAGCTACCTGGCCAACTGACTGGAAGAGTTCCATATCTGTGCTCATTCCAAAGAAAGGTGACCCAACAGAATGTGGAGATTATTGAACAATGTCATTAATGTCACAAACAATTGAAATTTTTTATTCTTTTTTCTTTTTTTTTTATTGTACTTCAGGTGAAGGCTTACAGAACAAATAGTTTCTCATGAAACAGTAATACACATATTGTTTTATGACATTGGTTAACAACCCCACAACATGTCAACCCTCTAACTTCTCAACGTTTTTTTTGGTGAAAATACTCATAGCCAAAGATACACCATTTCAAAAATTTCTACATGCACAGTTCAGTGACATTGACTACGCTCTTCCAATTGTGCTGCTATTCTCACTTAAGATGAAGGCTTACAGAACAAAATAGTTTCTCATTTAACAGTTACTACACATGTTGCCCTATGACAATGGTTAACAATCTCACAACACATCAACAATATCCGTACTCAACCTTGGGTTCCCTATCACCAGCTTCCTTGTCCCCTTCTGCCTTCTGGCCCTTGTCGCTGGATTACTGTATCTCATTAGTCCCACTTGGTTTTATGGGGCTGTCCACTCCCAGGAGATATCTCCCTTGGAGATAACTTCACCACTGAGCTAAAAGGGTGTCTGGGGGCCATAACAATTGAAACTTTGCTGAAAATAATTAACCGATTGCAGTGGCACATCGATAGGGAACTGCCAGAAGTTCAAGCCAGATTCAGAAGAGGACATGGAATGAAGGATATCATTGCTGATGTCAGATGGATCTTGGCTGAAAGGAGAGAATACCAGAAAGATGTTTACCTATGCAAAGGCATTAGGATCATAACAAATTATGGATAGCATTGCAAAGAATGAAAATTCTAGAACGCTTAATTTTGCTCATGAGAAACCTGTACATAGAACAAGAGGCAGTGCTTCAAACAGAATGAGGGGACCCTATATGGTTTAAAATCAAGAAAGATGTGTGTCAGAGTTATATCCTTTCACCATACTTATTCAATCTGTATGCTGAGTAAATAATCCAAGAAACTGGACTATATGAAGAAAAATGGAGCGTCAGGATTGGAGGAAGACTAATTAACAACCTATGATATGCAGATGACACAAACCTTGCTTGCTGAAAGTGAAGAGGACTTGAATCATTTTCTGATGAAGATCAAAGACTACATCCTACAGTATGGATTATACATCAACATGAAGTGTGATGGTTAAGATTGTGTGTCAGCTTGGCTGGGCCAAGATTCCCAGTGTTTATATGTGATCACTCCCATGATGGAATCTGCTATGAGTAGCCAATCAGCTGAAAGAGAGTTTCCTTGGGAGTGGGGCCTGCATCTGAATGTAAGCAGGCATTCTGGCTTTTTTGCTCACTCTGGATCCTGCAGCTGCCTCCTGTTCATTTGACCTCCAGTTCTTGGGACTTGAGCTATCAGCTTATCTGCTGATCTTGGGATTCATCGATCTTCACAGCCTGCGAGCGAGAGCCCTGCTCTCCGACTTGCCATTCTTGGGTTCTCCAGCCACTGAAGCTATGTGAATCGAGAGAAGCCTCTATCCTGATCCACAGACTTGGGCATTCCAGCCTCTACAATCATGTGAGCCATTTCCTTGATATAAATCTCTCTATATTTATATGCTTTATTGGTTTTGGTTCTCTAGAGAACCCAGCCTAAGACATAAAGAAAACAAAACTCCTCACAACTGAACCAATAAGCAACATCATGATACATGGAGAAAAGAAGTTGTCAAGTATTTCATTTTACTTGGATCCACAATCAATGCCCATGGAAGCAGCAGTCAAGAAATCAAATGATGTATTGCACTGGGCAAATGTGCTGCAAAAGACCTCTTTAAAATGTTCAAAATCAAAGATGTCACATTGAGGACTAAGGTGCACCTGACGAAAGCCATGGTATTTTCAGTGGCCTCATATGCAAGTGAAAGTTGGACAATGAATAAAGAAGACTGAAGAAGAATGGATGCCTTTGAATCATGGTGTTGGCAAAGAATATTGAATATACCATGGCCTTCCAGAAGAACAAACAAATCTGTCTTGGAAGAAGTACAGCCAGAATGCTCCTTAGAAGCAAGGATCGCAAGACTTCATCTTACATACTGTGGAGGTGTTATTAGGAAGGACCACTCCCTGGAGAAGGACATCATGCTTGGTAAGGTGGAGGGTCAGCAAAAAAGAGGAAGACCCTCGAGATGGATAGATACAGTGGCTGCAACAACTGGCTCAAACATAGCAATGATTGTGAGGATGGTGCAGGACCAGGCAGTGTTTTGGTGTGTTGTACGTAGGGTCGCTATGAGTTGGAACCGACTCAAAGGCACCTAACAACAACAACAACACAATAGATTTATTTTTATTCACATAGTAAGTCAATTTTCTTTATACCATCTAATAAATCATCCATTCTTTTCCCATTTATTTGTGGTGACACATTTATTGTATATTAACTCTGCATAGGTATTTAGATCTGGTTGTGACCTCTCTAATCTGTTCCATCGGTCGATTTGTCTGTCTTTGCACCAGTACCATTTTGTGTTTATTACTATGACTTTGTAGGAAGTCTCAATATCTGGTAAGACACAACTTCCTTCTCTCTACTCTCCTTTTTCAGGTTAACTTAGCTAAATAAATATTACAGAAAGTGTTATCACATTCCTCAAAATACATATTGAAATTTTATTGAGATTGT